TCAAAGCTCTTCACACAGTCCTTCCAAAAAAGCTGTACTGGATCCACAGAAGAAAACAACACCCCATCCTCCAAGACCAGCACCACCTCTGTTTTGTTAGAATTCAGTTTATTTCCCTTATTCACTTGACCAAGCACTGGCCCAGAACCAAGATGGCAGCATCTGTTAGCTTACTTGACATAACATACAGCTGGGTGCCATCAGCACATTGATGACACCCAGCTACAAAGCTGCAAACGATCTCAGTAATGGGGTCTCACATAGGAGTTACAGCGGCACAAGCAAGCTCTGTGGCATTTCCCATTCCAAGTCCCATGGTTCTGACTGCTCATCCCCTATAGCCATCTTCTGCATTCAATCCACTAAGGAGCATTCAAACCACTTTAATACTCTGCTGTCAAGTCTCACATGCAACTCCAGCAGTGTAGTGAATATGACTGGCGAGGGGTGGAAAGGGAGACTGCTATTTTATCAAAGAAAACAACTAAGGGCAATTAATTCAAAATCATAAACTATCATCAACCTTTGCAGTAACCACGAAGAAATGAGATACTGCAGGAAAGAAAACAAACTTGCACTGCCCTGAGACAAGGAGATTCTTGTCTAATTGATATATGACGCAGGCAAACACTGTACTAACAAACAGCACACAAGAGGAGAACTTCCAGCTTCTTGACACAGAGAGTATTCCATCTTTCTGTGTTTATACCTCTGAGGATGCCAGTCACAGTTACTGGCAAAACGTCAGGTTCTACAATGCCAAGACCACAGCCACACATCCCGGAAAATCTGCAGCAACTAACTTCCAGCTTCTCTCGCGCTTTATTTCAGCTGCTCTCCTTTCAGTTATATGCCAACTATGTGAGGCTGGGCTCCTAACATGCCAGATTTTAACAAAGTTAATTTCATTCAAATGAGCTGTCAAACTGGGTATATTAAATCATGTTTTGTAGAGCTCTGCCTGATGTTGTGATTTTATTCATTACTGCAATGCCACTGTCATGCAAAATAAGTAGCACCATGTATTTATTTATTGCTCTGGGAAACCAATGAAGAAACATCTCAGGGATAGAGCAAAGAAACACATAGTATAAACAGGAAACTAATATTGACGACTAGGAGTCTCCAGCACAGTGCCTGCAGTCACCATGGTGCCTGCCAACATGTTTTCTGGCACCTGCCAAGTGTTTTTAGAAAGTGGGCCGGGCCGGGTGGGGCTTTTGCCCAGAAAGACTTCTGATTAGCTACTGGAGATTTCATTGGCTGTGTAGATTTTTTTAAAAAAATGTTGCTTTAGCAACAGCTGCTACCACCACAGTCTTCACTGTGTGACTGAAGTTACGCTGTGACAATCATTTTGTAGCTGGCTCTGCCTCCTGCAGCAACCATTTTGCGGCAGTTGTTTTGTGGCTGCACCCACTATGCCATATCAGAATTCCGTAGGTGCCCGCAGGCTCAAAAGGGCTGGGGAGCCCTGCTGTAGACCATGCAGCACCGCAGTCATGTGCTGTTCTCTCCTGCCACATAATATAGGGTGTCCATGGCTGATCTCAGGAGAGAAAACTGATACTTCACACAAAGAAAGCTGAAGCTTCAGTACAAAGACAGCAAGTTGTGGAGAGAGCCTTGGCATCAACCTTCACCTAGCAGAGTGGTAGGAAATGTTAACAATTTTCTGGTACTAGAAAGAACCTTTCTTTCTTGTTCACCAGATCCGCTGAGGACAGGACAAGAATCAAGATTAAATTGATATGTTAAATGTGAGTTAATGCAAAGAAACAGTTCCCAACAATAAGAGCAACACCATAGTGATCACAGAATCTCCCTTCTCTGGACATTTGCATGCAGAGGCTAAACTGACCATTCTCAGACCTGCCTTTCGCACAGAGCTGCTAGCTTCAAGGCAGTGCACTGGAATATGCATGAGGCATTCTATCAAGCAAACTCAAAATTAACATATTAAGAGAAAATTAGTTTCACAATCAGCAGCACACCAGAGCTCTAGGGCTAATTATAAACCATAATAACTGAGTTGCTGTATATCTGTTAGTACATATACCAGGTAAATACCTGGACCTCTCAAGTTACATAAAACTAGAAAGTGTGTGACTGTGCTCATAGAAATTACTCAGACCTTACACATACAACAACAGCTTTCTTCTAAAGTGCATTCCTGGCCAGACTCTCTGCTGTGGTAAGAACTCCACTTGTCTGGAGTCTATCCAGTCAAGTAAACCTGCTCCATTCAGTTTTTAGATATGTTACTTATCAAGTGCCCTGTGATCTACTTTCCCACCATTCACAATCTGGACAGCTGTTCTGGAGAAGGAGCTGCTTTTCAGAAATAATAGATGAAAAGACTCACACAGAAATACTTTGCAGGAGAAGACTTGTATAGCTATCCAATACCACTGAAGCTGCTAACACTGGTAAAAAAAAAAGGTAATAAATTCCTTAACCAACTGTACAAAAGTCTGTCAATCTCCAACCCTCAGGAAGTTTGTTTATATTTTTGACTGATGGCAGAAAGTGACAGCTGACACCTTTACCCTACCTAGAAATTTTGAATTGTGCAGGGAGTTCCTTACCTACTGGCCCATCTGCATTTCTATTACCTGACATAACAATATAAATGGTAAACTTCAAAAGAGACTGTGTATGCAGTAAATTCTATCTATAGGCAAGTATCCCCTCTGCCAAAAAATGGGCATGGCCAGTAGCCACAGAATTTTTGAGGCACGCAGTAAGAAGAGGTGTAATATGTGGGTACTTGTTCATAGTCAAACAATTTAGTTGCATCATCCTGATGCCAGCATTCCTTCTAACCTGTGCATGTGACCGGCTGCTCATTAACACAGGAAGCTCCGCTCAGCAGCAATCTGGAGCCACACAGGGTCTTGCACTGCCCATTGCCCATTTTAAGAGTGCAGCAGTTATATTCTGTTCAGGATTTGAGCTGCTCCACTCAGTACGTAGGGGAAAAAATTAGAGGGAACATTGCCTGACACCTAAAATGCCACTGCAATTGAAAACAATGGTCTGGGTAGGGAGGATGGCCTCATAGTTTTTGAGATAATCAAAGGCTTACAGATGGTAAAAGAGTCAAAATACCACAGAAGTAGCCACATGTGGCTACCTCCCCTAAACTTGTGTGAAAATCTTTGCTTCTTGGGAAACACAGGAGAAACTAATTCTTCCTCCAGGGTCACCTTAGACAATGAACTTATCAACAGGAAAACCTATGTAGATATCACACATGCAACACAATATAAATCCTAATTTTCAGAAAGTATTCTACTTCTCCTGCCTCCTCTAACAATATTTTAAAAATATGTGTTCATATTAAATTGCTTTTTCTCATTTAAATTCTCAAAGATGGAGTCTGGCAAACAGCTGAGGTAAGTAAATTGATGAATACAGACTGAGTGTGGAGAGACAGTGACTAAAATACTCCAACATGCTATAAGCCTGTGGTAACATGGCTCACAGCCCTGACCTGGATGGCCTGGGCTGGCCTGATTGCGTTAGATCTCAGAAGGGAAGGAGCCTGGGTCCTCCTGGCTAGTACTTGGATGGGAGACCACCAAGGAAGTCCAGAGTAGTGATGCAGAGACAAGCAATGGCAAACCACCCCTGAACATCTCTCACCTTGAAAACCCCATTGGGTCGCTATAAGTCAGATGTGACTTGACAGCACTTCCCACCACCGACATAGTTCACAACCTGGGGGAAGGGACAGTTTCCAGGAAGTGGTCAATTGCCATTTCACCACCAACCCCATGATGCATCAAACAGCCAACATTTCAAACCTAATCGCCTTTCAGTGGCTTCACCATTTCAGCTGTTTATGTAGTCTTTGTGGTGACGTGACATTGCTGTACGTTGTCTCCCAGCCCACAACAGCCAACTGTGCGTATCTACTGCCACACATATGACTGTGCTTCACACATTTGACTGCAAGCAATCCAAAATACAGGTCTGCAGTGCCATGCAAAGAAGCTGCTATGCTATGGTATATGCCTGGCTGCCACAGATGATGGCCCAATGGTAGGGTTGCCAGTTCTGTGTTGGAAAATACCTGGAGACTTTGGGGGTGGATCTAGGAGAGGGAGGGGTTTGGGGAGGGGAGAGACCTCAGGAGGGTATAATGCCATAGAGTCCACCCTTCAAAGCAGCCATTTTCTCCAGGGGAGCTGATCTCTGTGACCTGGAGATCAGTTGTAAAAGAAGATCTCCGGGCCCCACCTGGAGGTTGGCAACCCTAGTGCATGCAGTGCCATGTGACTATTTTAATGCATTGAAGAACAACAAGAATGAAACTCAGCAGGTTCTGCTTGTGACAGTACAGTGCTACAAGTGTTTTAAAAACTGTATCCCCTCAAATTCCCAGTATTTCCAATTGGGAGCACTGTCCTTTCAGTTTGGCACCTACCCACCCTGTCTGCCCTTCCTGAGCCAAAGTTGGTGGTGGAAAGTGGTGACCACTCACAGACAACTTATGGAGTTGGTGACCCTGTAGGGTTTTCAAGACAAGAAAGTTTCAGAGGTGGTTTGTCACTGCCTGCCTCTGCAGAACAAGGCTGAACTCTCCTGGTGGCCTCCCATCCAATTACTAACCAAGGCCAACCCTAAGGTTGGCAGCTCTCCAAGCTACCAGCAGGGATGGGGTGTTTGTGGGTTTTTTTGCCAGATTCAGGTTGGGAAGCTTTTGGGGATTTGGGGATGGAGCCTGAGGAGGGCAGGGACCTCCATGAGATACACAATGCCATAGAGTAGACCCTCCAAAGCATCCATTTTCTCCAGGGGGAACTGATCTCTATCGTCTGGAGATCAACTGTAATCCCGGAGGATCCCCCGGTTCCCACGTAGAGACTGGCATACCAAGCCAACCCCATGTAGCATTCCAGAGCTGACTGGAGGTTGGGCCCAACGCAGGGCTGGGCGAGCCAAGGTTAGGTCTCGGTTTCTGCGTACGGCGCCCCTCCTCCTGCCCGCGTTACCTGCAGTAGACAAAGGCCGGGCCTGGAGTGCTCGGCCACGGTGGCGTTGTAGACCTGCTGCTCGAAGACCGGCTCGTTGTCGTTGGCATCTTCCACGACGACGGTCACCAGGCAGGAGGCGGACAGAGGCGGCTCGCCCAAGTCCCGGGCCCACACCAGCAGCTCCAGCGCGGCCTGGCGCTCGTGGTCCAGCCCCCCTCGGACGCGGAGGACGCCGCTGAGCGGCTCGAGGTGGAAGAGGGCGGCCGGCGGCCGGTGGGGGGCGGCCAGGCTGTAGCGCACCTGGGCATTGCGGGAGCCCGGCTCGTCGGCGTCCGAGGCGCTGAGGCGGAGCACAACGGTGCCGGGCGAGGCGGCCTCCGAGACGGCGGCGCGGTAGTGCGGCTGCGCGAAGGCGGGCGCCTGGTCGTTGAGGTCGGCCACGCGGAGCAGGAGGGCCCGCTGCGAGGAGAGGGGCGGGGAGGCGGAGTCCACGGCCACCAGGCGGAGCTCGTAGGCGTCGCGGCTCTCGCGGTCCAGGGCGCCCTCCACGCACAGGAAGAACACGCCGTCGCCCGCCGGCCGCAGCGAGAAGGCGCCCTCCCCGCCCTGCAGGCTCAGCGCCACGCCGCCCTCGCCCGCGTCCGGGTCCGTCACCGACACGCGGGCCACGTAGTCCCCGGGCCGAGCGCCCTCGGAGACGCTGGCGCCGCCCTCGGCGAGGAAGAGCAGGCGGATGGCCGGCGCGTTGTCGTTCACGTCCAGCACCTCGACGGCGACCAGCGCGGTGGCCACTTCGGGCTGGGCGCCGCCGTCGCGGGCCTCCACGGCCAGGCGGTGGAGGGCGCGGGCCTCGCGGTCCAGGGGCCGGAGCAGGCGGAGCACGCCGGTGCGCTCGTCCACCGCGAAGAGGGCGGCGGCGGCAGGGTCTCCCTGGCGGCGGCTCAGGCCGTAGCGGACCTCGCCGTTGGCGCCCAGGTCCGGGTCGGTGGCCCGCAGGCGGCACACGGGGCTGCCGGCCGGCGCGTCCTCCGGGACGCGGGCGCGGTACTCGCTCTGCTCGAAGGCCGGCGCGTTGTCGTTCTCGTCCAGCACCTGGATCTCCACCCGCAGGCGGCCGCTCCGCCGGGGGCTCCCGCCGTCCCAGGCTTCCACCAGGAGCCGGTACGTGTCCGCCCGCTCCCGGTCCAGTCTCCGCAGGAGCGCCAGGTCCAGCGTCTCGGGGGGGCTCCCGTAGCGCAGCTGGAAAAACGGGCCGTCCTCCTCCGGACCGCTGCCCTGGTCGCCCGCCGGCGGCGGCAGCGGGAGCAGCGAGTAGCCCTGCGTGCCCAAAGTGCCGGCGTCCGGGTCCCGTGCGGCGGGCAGGCGGAAGACGCTGCCCGGCGGGCTGAGCTCGGAGACGGCGAGGCGCACGGCGTCCCGGGGGAAGCGAGGCGCGTGGTCGTTCACGTCGGCCACGGTGATCTCCACCTGGACCATCTCCCCCTGCAGCGTGGCCGCCACGAAGCTGTAGTGCGCCTTGCGCTCGCGGTCCAGCGGCCGGGCCGTGCGGATGATGCCGGTTTCCGTGTGCACGTGGAAATCCGCCAGCACGGCCGACTCCCCGCTGCCTTCGGAGAGGAAGAAGCCGCCGGGATGGGCCCCCCCGGGCGGGAGCCCCGCGCTGATGTCCCCCACCAGCGTGTCTGCCGGCAGCCCCTCGTCCACGGCCAGGCTGAGACGGCGCACCTGTCCCAGGCAGCCCCCTGCCGTACAGCAGCACAGCCAGAGGGGAAGCAGCAGCCACCCGCCCTGCCCCCGGCCGGCCTTTCCTGCCCCCGGGGCGGCTGGTCGGTGCCCCATGCTCCTCTCAGTCCCTTGGCCTCATCGGCAGTCCAAGCCAAGCCGGCGTCCCTGGGCTGGCTTTTCCGGAGCGCAGCGAGGGCTCTGCCCAGCAGGCGCGCCGGTGGCTCAATCAAGTCGCCTCTCTTCCTTCGCTCCCTTCATTCCCTTCCCGGCGGCAGCCTGGAATCAGGTGCAATTCGTGTGTCAGTCAAGGAGCAAATCCGTTGACTCCGCCAAACGCACCCCGTTGAAAGTTGAGGCGGAGGGACAAGTGCCGGGGAGCGAGTGGGAGAGGACAGCTCCCTGCCTTGGGCTCCCAGTGCTGCTTCTGAGGCTGCTGCTGCAGCCCTGCTCCGGCGGCTCCCCCTCGCCGTCTCCCAGCTGCTGTTAACACACCCCCTCCCCATGTGACAGCAGACAAGGGCAAACCCCGCTGCTGGGAGAAACGGCGGCCAAGCTGTGTCCGGGGGCTGTCCCCGCTCCCCCACCTAGGAGGAGAGATGCCGGGCGCTGCTCAGCATCCAGAGAAGTTAGCAGGCAAACCTGCCTCAAACAGTCGCTTTCTGGTAGCATCTCTGCAAAGCGCTGGTGCAGCAGATTGCTTCCAACCGCAGCAGTAGGTCTGTAGGAACTAGTTAGCCTATTATGATCTTATGGATTAGATGGCGTGTTCAGAACACCCTGGGCATGTGAAGGCTCATAATACTTACTGAGTAGTTAAAACATATTCGTCTAGAAGACAGGCTCTTGGGGGGGGGGCATACACTGCCTCAGCACAAAGCCCTACCCTTCCCTTTTGTGTTCCATTGATAGACAATCTGTTGCAGAACCACGCAGATAATTTGTGCTTTAAGCAATTTGTGCTTTTAGATAGCTAAACATGCCTATTCTGCATTTTAAAAGTGGTTACTGGGAAAAGCTGCACTTTGGGTGCTTAAACAGAAAGAATCTGATGATAAGGTTTTGACCTTTTCAGTTTCAGTGCAGCATGGTTAGAACCGTGGTTTCTAATCTTCCAGCCTAGACATATGCAGAATGATAAGAATCTCACATTTTTAATAAAGCCTCTCAACCTCAAGGAAGCCAAAGCACTTCACAAATTTTATTAAATCATTGTACAAAGCCATTAGTGGACCTGAACTTCAACTAGCTTCTATAGTTAAGATCTCTTCCTTCCTTTTAAGTGATTAATGGAGCCCATATTGGCATGGTTTATTTATGAAAATCCTAGAAAGAGAAGCCCATACTAAGCATTGGTGCCTGCACAGTGAGGTAAGTGTGATGTAACAGTATAGTTAAGCAAATAATAGTCCAAACCACATAAAGAGAATATATGTTCCCCAGCTGGGAAGTTACAATATTTAAAAGGAGTCGAGGTCTTTAGAGGGAGATTTATTTGACTTTCTTGTACAACTACACCACTGCAAAAGTATAAACTTTATGATACTGTTACATCTCACTTAGCTTTTGTTATAACCTCTGTAGATAATTACTACAGTCAATTACAGTAATTACCTTATTTGTCTTTTACAGCAGTCCTGTGGTATGCTGCATTTTACATCTTAGAAACAGGAAGCTCAGGCTAATGGCTGTCTTGTGCTCATTTAGTTGGGAGCAAGTACTATTAAACACTGTGGGATTTAAGGCTGCAATCCTTAGAACACTTCCCTGGGAGCATACTCCATTGCATAACATAGGGCTTACTACTGAGTAGACATGTACAAGACTAGTTTTTTTTTGACCAAGAGTTTATGAAACAGAAAGGGTTTAAATGTGGATCTCCATAGCCCTAAATTAACACTGAAGCTATTTGGCTATATGGTAGCTTGCATTGCATTATCTAATTGTGCCATGTGCTAATGTTCAAAAACAAATGGGATGCATCCTACGTAGTCCTTTGACAAAGAAAGTGCTTGCAAATGGAAGTAGCCAGCAAAAAGGGGGGGGGAAGCAAAAACAGGACAGAGTATAAATCCTACAGAATGCTGCAACAGTAGAACATTTTAAGACTCAGTGAATTTTGCTACCTTTAATACTCCGGTCCTTGTTCTCCTGAAGAAAAATGCTAGTTTCTCTTAATACAAGTGGGTCAGTATTCAAACAGCAGTAGTAATATAATGCCTTAATTAGAACTAACTAAAGCCCCCTAATATAAGGAGCAAGATTTTGACTTCACCAAGACTATTTCAGACTGGATGTTAAACAATAAAAAAGGCCTGGTAGGAGGAGCACAGAATGGGAAGGAGTACCAGTGTCTTTGCTACATTTTCTACAGATGTAGAAATGAACTTTGAATGGTGCACTGGGTAGAGTGAACAGGTGCCAAGAAGTACTAGAGTAGATGATATTGTATTGGAATAATATTGGCATCATCTACTTGGAGGAAACATTTTTCCCATAGACAAATCCCATCATTCCATGACTAGAAGATCACTCCTAATTTCCCCTTTTTGGACAACTGAATACAGTCTTCTCCAAAGACTTTGTAAATCACTATAAGAAAGTACTCCATAGATGTAAGAGCCACATAAAGTGACAGTAACAAGTAACTATTAAGATGCTCCCTTTTCCCGTTATCTTTCAGTATCATTCTGGATTCAGTCAATTTTTTTAATTCAGTGCAATTGTTAAATTCTGGGTAGGATTCAATTAAAACTACTGCATTCTGACAGTAGCCGTCACTGTAGTGTCCCATATTGGTGGTGTTAAAATTATTTCCCATTTGCATTTAAAGTGTGATGTACAACACATCACTAAGCATACAACATATTCAGAAATAGATTAGTCCCAGCTAGTTTGGCAGTCCTTTCAGACATGCTGGGCACAAGCATGGAATTAGGCATTCCTAATTCCTGACTTCCTTCTTACCAGGTTAGAGAGCAAAGCCACTGCGCTTTGAAATTCTACCTCTAAGACAATGGTTGGGATCTAAACAACTGCTTCAGGCCAGTCAATTCTCCTTTGAACAAATCACCACTCTACTCCAGTCCCAACTCTTGAACTGTCCTGTACAAGATTATGCGTGGGATAGAGCAGGTAGAGAAAGAAGTACTTCTCCCTTTCTTACAATACAAGAATTTGTGGGCACTCGATGAAATTGGTGGTTAGAAACAGATAAAAGGAAGTACTTCTTCACCCAAAGAGTGATTAACACATGGAATTCACTGCCACAGGAGGTGGTGGCGGCTACAAGCATGGACGGCTTCAAGAGGGAATATATAAACATATGGAGTAGAGGTCCATCAGTGGCTATTAGCCACATGGTATAGATGGGAACTCTCAGTTTGGGGCAGGTGATGCACTGTATTCTTGGTGCTTGGGGGGGCCAACAGTGGGAGAGCTTCTAGTGTCCTGGCCCCACTGGTGGACCTCCTGATGGCACCTGGTATTTTTGGCCACTGTGTGACAGAGTATTGGACTGGATGGGCCATTGGTCTGATCCAATATTGGCTTCTCTTATGTTCTTATGTTTCTGTGTTTCAGTTTGCCATTTGGTGGGATGAAGAGGCTGCTGTTCGAAGAATAACTAGTTGGCAGGAAAAGAAGAGTGCATGAGAAACAGTTTTCCAACAAGCACATCTCCTTGCAGCTTGATCTAACTTTTTACCAGCAACAGTCCTGCCATCCCCATGCAGGTAGCACTCACTGTGCACATTTTGAAATCGCCCTTTCCCCCAACATGCAAGGCAGAAAGGCAGGATACTTTCTGAAGGGCTGAAGACAGAGGGAGCTGGACTGTAATGCACCTAATGCAGAGATCCACACAATAATCTACAATCCAAGGGTTTCTGCCATACTTTGTGAGGGGTGGGGTCAGGCCTGTAGCCAGGATTTTTTTAAGTCAGGGGGCATTTAAATGTCTTAGGGGGCACTGGCTAATCAATTTAATCCGGGGGAGAAGGCTGTGACACCCTGGGCTAGATGGTAAGTCGTGGGGCCTTGCCAGCAAGTCAGGGGGCCTAGCCCTGAGACGCCCCACTGTAGCTACGGGCCTGGGTGGGGTTATATATCACTAAATGCTTCCAATGTATTTATCTGCTGAGCACAGTATTTCAGCTTTTTTTCCCCTGAAACATCTTTTGCTTTTTGCTTCTTTTTTTTTGCATGTCACCATCTCCTCTAGAAGAATACAAATTCTGCAACAAGTGATGCCAAGAGGGAAGAGAAAAAGTGACTGGTCAGGAGAAGGATACTTTCACAGTTTTTTTTCTCTTCATAGCATCCAGTCTTCACCAGAAAGTATCTCTCTGTCATCAGTCCAGATTCACTATTGATTCTGGGTGTGCTTTTGGGAATAGCTGAGCTTGCATAGTTTCATTTTAAATCATCTGTTTCCAAGTTAAATCCTTAACAGGATGCCACATTGTATGACATCAGAATATATAGGATCAGTTTTAAGCATCCACACTCTGAATGTGCTTTTGTGCCATCATCAGGCCAGGATCTGATCACATTGTTAGCAGTATTCATCAGCATGTATAAATGCTGTACAGGGGACAGATAAGAATGTAATTGTCTTTGCTTGATCAGCCAAAGATCCACACAATGGCCAGCCAGATGAATCTGGGACAATTTGCAAGTGGGGCATGACTGAGAAATGTCATTTTTTTAATTTGTCCCCCAATGCCTGATAATTAGAGAGAGACTGCCTCTGAACACAAATATTCCTTTTTTTACTTCTCATAGCTAGTGATAGATGACTTTAGCCTCCTTGTACAGTACCTTACAGCAGGCCTTTTGGGTGTGCTACCCCAGTGCAACCCCTGACAGTCATATCTAAAGCACGTCAGAATTCACTTGTGTAGAAAAACAGAGCCAGATAGCTTTGTCCATCTTTCTAAGGATAAGATGCCTTTAGTCTATTGCAAGCCTTTTGTGCTCCTGCAGCTAAAACTGAATCACAGTCTATTGCAAGCCTTTTGTGTTCCTGCAGCTAAAACTGAATCACAGGAACAGGGGAAAGGCATATTTCTAGCATGTCATAAGAACATAAGAAGGGCCCTGCTGGATAAGACCAGTAGTCCAGCATCCTGTCTCACACACTGGCCAACCAGTTCCTCTGGAGAGCCAACAACAGGGCATAGAAATCAAGGCCTTCCCCTGATGTTGCCTCCTGGCTCTGGGATTCAGAGGATTAGTGCCTCTGAACATGGAGGTTCCCCTCAGTAGCCAGGGCTAGTAGCTACTGATAGACTTATCCTTCATGAATCTATCTAATCCCCTTTTAAAGCTGTTTATTCCTGTGGCCATCACTACATCCTCTGGCAGCGAATTCCGCATTTTAATCGCTCTCTGTAAAGTAGTATTTCCTACTGATCATCAGCTTCATTGGATGCCCTGGATTTGCAGTATTTTGGGAAAGGGAGAAAAACTTCTCATTGTCAACTCTATCCCATGCATAATTTTATAAACTTCTATCATGATGTCCCTCCCCCTTAGAGAAGCTTCAGACTCTTCAGCCTTTTGAGGCTTTTAAACGCCACAATATATTTTTTTTCTTTATGATTTCAGATTTTTCTGCAAACTTGGGGCATTTTTCAGGTTTGTAGAAAGATTGGTCTTGTCTGTTCACAGCTTCAACCACCATATTTAAGTATCTTCAGATTTGGTATATTCTAAACCTTCAGATTTAGAATATACAAGCGGGAACCCGCAAGGACTTATAGCAGTGAATTTCCTTCACCCCCTATTATTTCCTTTTTACTTTTTCCCCTTTCTTGAAAGCCCCCATAGCTTATCCCCCTTTCATGCCTCCTGCCCTTCCCATCCATCAACAAACCTACCTTTATCATCTTCCCATCTTCAGTTTTTCACCCTACTCTATGCAGGAAAATATGACCCAGTTATGCAGTGCTGATTGACAGGGAAGGCCCAGTTGCACAGTGGGACCCTGCAAGGAGTTGAGACAGGGCACCCATTTTCCCATCTCAACTTTCCCCACTATTTCCTTTTCCCCTCCACCTGACAGCTCCCATATCCTCAACCTCCTCTGCTTCCCACCCACCAACCTTTTATCTGCCCCTGCATTTTCAGCTCTATTTATTATTTATTTGTTTGTTTATTTATTTATTATTTCAATTTGTATCCCACCTAGCCACAGGACTGGCTCAAGGTGGCTTCATTTACTTCATTTATAGCCTACCTTTCTTCACAATGAGGACTCAAAGTACCTTACTTCATTCTCCTCTCTTCCATTTTATCCTCAAAACCACCCTGTGAGCACAGATGGACTGGCAGTGAAAAACCCTGTGAAAGGACCATGATCTCAAATGAGAAGAAGAAAAGATTGGACTTATCCCTGCCCTTCACTACCCAAAGGAATCTCAGAGAGGCTTACAGTCTCCTTTCCATTCCCCTCCCCAAAACAGACACCCTGTGAGGTAGGTGGGGTTGAGAGAGCTCTCTCAAGAACTGCTTGTGAGAGAACAGCTCTGAAAGAACTTGTATCTGACCCAGGGTCACACCAGCAGCTGCATGTGGAGAAGTGGGGAATCAAACCTGGCTCTCCCAGATTAGAGTCCACGCTCCTAACCACTACACTACTCCATTTACCTGCCCCTCCCTCTCAAATGGGGGGGGTGAAAGGAAAAAGGAAGAGGCAGCCTGCCTAACCAGTTGGCCAGGTGCTGCTTACCTTACCTCAGGTTAGCCAAGCCCTGCTTCCCTTGTCTCACACAGTCTGAGCACTGCCTCCCTCACCTTGGCTTGGCTGGGTGCCACCGTCTGCCTCACCTGACATAGGGCTCGGTTGGGCCAGGCATGGCCTTCTGTCTTGCACAGAGCTGGGATGGTTGCCCCCATCTGCCTCATGTCCACAAGACTGGGCCAGCTGGGCTGCTGTCTCCCTCATGTCATGTGGGGCTTGGCCAGTCTCGTATGCAGACAACACTTTTGTTTGGGGAGGAGTTAAACTCCCCAGTGTATTTTAATTGGTTTTAGATTTGTTAGGAGAAAAATCCCCTTTCTGTCATTGTGGGCCCAATCCACAGATTTAGATATCCACAGATCAGCTCACGCATGGCTATGGGAAATACAAGTAATGATTTCAGCACTTCCCAGTTGCAACTGACTTATACACCAACTGAAATCTTGAAAACATCTTCGAGGGAAGTCCTGTGTAGGGGATTAGTTTTTTAAGCTTGGTGTTACAAAGGCAGGTGGTTACTGGAACTATATCAGCTTTCTTCAGAAATGGTTGCGGCTAGTGGACTAGCCTTAGCTGGTAAAAGCTACCCTGGGCAATTCCAGCCACTTGCCTGTTCAGCGACAATATGACACCTTAGGAGCATCCCTAGGATGTGAACTTGCTCTTTTAGGAGCAGTCCTACCCCATCCAGAGCAGGTGAAATGCCTCTTCCTGGATCAACCTTATTCCATACCCACAGCACTTCCATCTTGAATGGGTTAAGTTTTCAAGACAGAGTATGAATGAAGGAAATAGATTATCTACCTTCATCCAGCCCTTCACTGTCTCCGGACAGTTTAGCTCTTTGACTGCTTCCCTGAGCTTAGATGGGGTGGGGTGGGGGAGCTCAGATACTGAAATGTTTGTGGAAATGTTATCAGTACCTTGGATCTGTTCGGATAACAGTAGAAGATATTCATGGGGTCCAACCCAAACTAAAGAAAAATGCTGTGTACTACAATTTATAGCTGACCTCCCTGTGTCCACAATCTGGCATTTCCTTTTTTTTATATAGGCAAGAGTGGCTTAGAGAGAAGAAAATCTTTTCTTGTTGGTTGTGCCAAACACAGACAGCAAATCTATTGTGGTAATCCCAAGCAGGAAATATTCACATCCTTGCCAATTTCACTAATACACACATGGGTTTTCCCTAAATCACAGATGTTTGACAGGAAAGTGCCTGGATCATGCTGAATCACAACATCACTGGAGGAAAGTGCCATTTCCTGCTTATTCCATAATCATTAAGGAAATAAATGAAATTTGTTTTTTTTATCAAGCTGTGATTGCTGCAGACCTAAACAAAACCGTCTGGAAACAAGTGTCATCAGCCTCTCAATAGCAATACTCTGCACTTTGATTTAATCAGTACGAATACAGAGGTCACTGCTGAGGGAATATACAAAATGGCTGGGTTGGTGGAATGATATGGGGACCCATTAGGATTTATCTTGTTTTTACTCACACTTCCATGTATCTGGAAATGCTTAATATGCACTGAATTCCTTTAGGAGCTGGATGTTTTCTCAGAGCTGCATTTATGTTCCGCAAGCTGAGGTGTGAGAGAAAAGATGAGTCTGCTATGGAGATAGATTTAATTGCAAGAGAAGTGATGTATATTGTGGGAGCTTGGTTTTGTGGTGTTACTGTATCTTACATTTCTCCATTTATACTTTTTTCTGGTTTCCGCTCGTCTGTTTACAAGACATTCACCCCTTTCCTTCACCTGTCCCCCCCCCAAAAAAAAATCTGCATGCAGAAATTAAAATGTGTGCGGAGCTTAAAATTCATACCTTACGGCCTTTTCTAGCTTTTCTTGAGAGCTCTTGTTGTATGTGCTTGGGCATCTCTCTGTGGCATATCTATAACTAGACTGTTACCATGAGATATCAAGTGGCAGAAGGGAAGTTTACTGTGCATCAGTGCTGGGTACAATGAAACCATCATCTGTGACTATAAACACAATATGTGTTTACTGCTTTACCCACTACTGTTAATGCTGTAATAAAGTCTAGTCACAGGAATCATGGCTTGCATCCTACCATTCTCCTCATCCAAAGCGAAGCCTTCCTCTGACAGAAGGGGCCCTTCAGTTGGGAGAAGGCTCTCTGGGACAAAAGAAGGATCCATGCTTGGCTGAGCAAAGTGTTCCTATAATAGCCAACCCACCTTCCCTTGCTTGCCAGGTTCTTCGTGAATAAGCTCAGTGACAGAACAGTGGTGGTGTACACTTTCATCACAGGCCCTTTTTTATTATGGCTGCTGGCTTTAGAATGCAGTAAAATGTTTTGTGACAACTTTGGACCATCAGTCTATTACTGGGAACCTGCTTGCACTGATGACTTGCAGGTTTATTGGAAGTAAGCAGTACTCATTTCAGTGGGGCTTACTTCCAGAGAACGTCATGGTAGCAATGTGTTTGAAAGCACATTGGTTTCATAATGAGATAACTCTTAAAAAATAGTTACAAGGATCTTAAATTCAGGATATTTTCTTTCAGGAGGCGGTATCTATAAGAGCAGGTTCTGATGCAACATTTCCCAAGGACATGAACCCCTGTGTGTGGAGAAGTTACATAAGACTGGATTATTCATGTAACTTTTTCCAGTATGTTTTAGCTTGGCTCTTGGGATCTTGTGGAGAAATTTTAGAAGGATACATTATTCTGACATAATATTTCCATGTGTTTGCCCTGATGGGATCTATTTAAAAAAAGGATTAGATCAGCAGAAATCTGGATCAGCTCAGAATCTGGATGGAATCAAACTGTCACAACTTAACAAATAAGAATTCCTTTATTATTCTAAGGAGTAGCTAACTAACTGCAAGTAGATCAAAAGAGTTACGATGTAGTTCATATAGCCCAGTTCAATAGTGGTGGCAACACAAGAGTGTTGTATAGAGTGTGGCAGAAGCCTTTCTCAGCCTTGTGCCAAACACGTTTCAGCACAAAGCCTTCATCACTGGCTTATGACTATAATTAGCACAATTATATCTAACTCGCACTGTAAATGATGTAATAAGTCACAAGCACCAGCAAGATAATCAAATTGATTCCTTGGAGTGAATTAAATACTTATATAAAGTCAGTCTTCAAATATTTCCATATTTGGGTATCTCTGGTCTAAACAGCAACCTCAGTATACGTTTTGTGAGTGTCTCGCTGTGCTAATATAAAATAGCTATTGTGTTATGTTATATCTTTTACAGTGTAAGTTAGATATTAAAAAAAATACTTCTTGGGTTTCCGGTATTGGCGATCTAATGGCAGACGCGTCTCTCGGGAACTCCCGAGGACGCGATCCGTGAGCCAGTGGATGGAGAGGGGGTGCGACTGTACACGCGCCCCCTGGAGCCCATGCGATGGGTTCCTAGCCATGGAGCGCCGAGGATCACCTCTCTCCTGGCACGTTGCTGGTGGATTGAGGCATTCCGATGCCCCGACGGTCTTGCCACTGTGTTCCAGTATTGGACTCAGAGACGCTTTACACGTTTGATGGTGGAATCTACCTGATCTACAATGAGAGTGAGTTTGGTTGAAACGAGAACCAGAGAAATGGCTGAAAGTCCCCCCTAAAGTAAGCGAGGGGGGCGGGACCCCCCCGGTGCTGCCCCCCGGTGGAAATAAAAATTGACTTAAAGCATGCCTTTTAAAGGGAGGTGGAGCTGAAAGCAAAATGGCACTATAGTAAGGAACTTACAAGAGAATTACAGGTGACTTGCAGACTTGCAGACTTCAGAGACTTTTGGCATACTTTTCTAAATGTAAACAACTTCAAAGATGTCGCTGAAAAAGATGGAGAAAGATAAGCAAACAAAACCTAAGCCTTCTTCAGGAAGTGCCAGCCCAGTGACTGCGGTCATGAGACCGGATGTAACCATAGACATCTCTAAGATGCTAACAGAAGCTTTGCGATCCCTGGTGGAGCAAATGACAACACTCAATCAAAACTTCGCTGCACATCAACAGCAATTAGACAAGACTAAAGAAAAAAGCAGAGCAAATGGCTGAGAATCTTAAAGAAGTGGATGCCAACACCAAAAAGCTTAAAAAGCAAATGCAGGAGATGGAAAAGAAGAGAAACTCTGATGAAGCCCAGCTTTTACAGCTTCAAATGGAAAAGGCAAGCTTTATACTGAGATTTCAGGGAGTTCCTGAGACTAAAGGGGAGAATCTTAAACAAACTATGAGTGATGTCCTGGGACCAGTTGCAGATTTAAAAGCGGATTTTCTTCAAGGTGAGATGGATGTGATCTATAGGTCACATTCAGAATATATAAAGAAAAATAATCTGCCCAGTGAGGTGGTGGTTAGATTCTCCAGAAGACATGTGAGGGATCAGATATTTAAAGCAACAAATGGAGCTACCCTTAAAATTGATGGCAAGGAGATAAGAGTTCTGAAAGACATTCCCTTTGAAATAAGGGGGGAAAGGAAGAAATACAGACATGGCTCTGTTTCTACAAAAGAATAACATTTCCTACAAATGGATTGTACCTGAAGTCATACTTTTCCAATTTAAAGATAAGAGGGGGAAAATTGACTGTTACGAAAGCACTTGAGTTCTTGCAGCAACAGCTGGAACCAACAGGGAAGAGGACAAGAAGAGCAACAAGGGGAGTGGATGAAACACTGGAGAAGACTTGGATTCGGAATGTGGGGCGGCTGCCCCCAAGCAAGGATATCAATTGAGGGACAGAAGAGGCAAATGAGATGCCAATTTTCTCTGAAGTTTGGTCTTGCTTCTTAATATTTAAGCATTCTTTGTTATGTTTTTTTACTAAGTCAGAATACTTGGACTTAAAAAAAATTTAAGCAACTTTAACGATCACCTTCAATGTAACAAATTGATCTTTTTTACTTAAAGCTACTTTATTGTAATCATTATATGATCCCTCCTCTTGGGGTTTTAGTGGTTTATATTTACTTTCTCCCATAGTTTATAGTTCCCCGTTCCTTATTTTTTTGTAGTTTTGGAAAATATTTTTTAAAAAAAAACACTTCTCAGCAGCATCCAAGCAAGGACAAATAACCTGTGTGGAAATGGCCAAATTGTTTGTTTCAAGACTGATCTCTTGGGTCACAAACTACTGCTTTATGGCATAAACCTAGAATGAGGAATGTGTGACAATTTGTAATGAAGCAGGACAAACCCCAAGGAGAA